AGACCACGTTGCCAGCATGGCTAACACAGACCCAGGGAAGGTATGGTCAACTGAATCGATTTTGTATTCTTGCTGAGTGTCCTTTCCATGCCATGGATATGTATGGTAAAGAAAACAAATCTGTGATTTCGGAAGTAAAGGAAACTCCCAGTGAGGAACCTCCTCTACCAATTGGGGATGGCACATTCTATGCTTAAGAGCTACTTAGAGCAATGAGAGTTTGAGTGACTTGCCAAAGGTCATAGAGACTAAATGTGCTAAATGTGGGTTTTGAACTCTGGTCCTTCTGGCTCCAAGGCCAGCTCACCATCTACCATGAAATATTGCCACTCTATGGCAAAGTAAGCTTGCTTGTATAAACTGTTAATTGGATGAGGTCTCATTTCATTCCAATTCCTAAACAGAAGCAGCAGACCAATCTGAATGAGGTCTGACCTGGTTCTATGTTTTCTAGATGAGTAGTAAAATATTTTTCCTTTCATTTTTCTTTTCCTATGGTCTAACATACCGTTACTGTTACCTTTCTATGCTCCACTCAGGCTGGAAATACAAGGGCTACTCCCACTTCTAGTCCCATTCTGAATGGCACAGAAGCTTTGACCTGCTCCATTTCTAACCTGAACTAGATATGCCCTTCCCTGGGCAAGCTGATAGCCCAAGAGATCCTTCAGCCTCAGCCACCCTGGTAGTTGTGATTACAGGCATGTGCCTCCATGTCTGGGGTTCTGTTACTCTTCAGTACCATCTCTGATCATGAGATTTTGTGTGCTTTCACTCCTGTTGGAGTTAGAAAACAATGAAATATATTGGATGTGCCAAGGGACATTATCACACATTTGATATTGATGTCATTTTATGGATCTTTATGATACCTCAGTATTTCATGGATTCAAGGTTTCACCAGTATAGCTCCTTCCTAGATGATGCAATTGAAAGCTCCTCTACAACCTGGTAAATGTCCCCTGAAGGATAGCTATAATGCCATCTCTAAAAATTAATCACCCTACAGATACCATACTGGTGTGCTGGCCTGGACTTAACAAAGTTAGACATCAGGCAACAGATGTATAGTCCATACTCAAAAAATTTATAGTTTTGTAAGACCTGCTCCAGCACGTACTCTGCTGATATTGCTTTGTTGAAGCCACGGTCATCTTTAGTCCATGAGAAGGCATTCAGTCCATTAGATTGTGAGTTCCTTGAGAGCAGGGACTATCTTTTGCTTCTTTTTGAATCTCCAGGGTTCAGCACAGCGCCTACTAACATAGTAGGGACTTCATAAATTTTTACTAATTGATTGGTTTTCACCACACATGCCTAAAAAACAGTTCTGAAGCAGCTAGATGGTTGAACAGAAAGAGAACTGGGATTGGAATGAGGAAGATCTGAGTTTAAATTCTGCTTCAGAAACTTATTACCTATGTGATTCTAGGCAAGTTATGTAATTTCTCTCAGCCTCAGTTTCCACACCTGTAAAGTGAAGAGGTTGGATTTCATGGCCTCTAAAATCGGGGTTCTTAATCTGGGCTTTATGGACAGATTTCAAGGAGTCTATAAACTTGGGTGGAGGAGATTGTCTATATTGTCAATAACCTATGGTTTATTTTGTTATCCTACGTATTTTACTTTAAGCACTTAAAGACATTCTAAAAAACAAAAAAACAACAACAACAAAAAAACATTCTTCTGAGAAGAGGTTCCAAAGGCTTCACCAAAGCGGAAGGGGGGGGGGGTCCCATGAAACAAAAAAAGAGTAAAGGACTCCAGTTCTCAGTTCTCTTCCAGCTTTTACTCTATGATTCTAGGATCCTATGATGTATGCACACAGGTAATCATCAGTCTTCCAGGGTATGAATCTGATAAGCTGAAACAGATTTTAGTTGCCTGAATTCTAGGGAATTCATTAAAGAGAATGCACTCACTATTGACTAGGTTTTTGCCTGGTTCTATTATTTGGGGGGCTGGGAATTCCCTGGTTACTCACCCTTTTCTCTATCAGAAAGATGCAGTAACCCTGAACATAAATATGATATAATCACCTTCACCCTCTAGACATGTGGTAAATGTTTTCCTTGTCTTGTAGCTCTCTGTGGGTACATTGGTGTTGGTAATATCAATCTTTAGATGACAAACTCTTCCATGTCCTGATTATGGGAAATTCTCTTTGTCCACTCCCTGCCAGGATGTGACATGTACATGGGACTCAGTACAAGCCAGATAATGATTAGCAGTCACTCTGACCTCTCTTGGATGAAGGCTTCATAATGCTTCAGCTGGTGATCTGGGTAGCTATTGTGATGTGCCGCCCCATCTTTCAGCCCTGAGTATGAATTGCTGTTACATTCTAACCGCATGCACATGGCTGAACACTTAGGGAAAGTGTCTATTTACAGAACTTATTTTACTAATGCATGAGAAACACTGGCAACATATGGAGATGTGACTGCCAGGGATTCTAGGTATGTGTCCCCTCAACCTCAGATCAGCTCCACCAATCAAAAGAAGCTGAGGAGACAGTGAAATGTGATGACTGCCGGCCAGGTCTTTGCATCTAGCTGATTATGAGTCTGATTAGTTTTGAGTGTTGAGGTACAATCTGTGATGTTCTTATGTAATTTCTATTGCTAATATAAATAATTAGGCATCAAGGGGAGGGCTCTGAAAGCAAGTCCAAGATGCTCAGATGTATTCTTTCCATGACAATGACGCTCTCTGTGGTCTTAAGCATTCTCTTAAACTTCAGCTTTCTCCTCATTGTCCGCCCTCAGACTTCCTCTTCCAACTCCAAATTTACAGTATTAATAATTCTCTACATTGCAATAATGCCTAAAATTAGTGAATAGATGTTAGGTCTAGGCTTTGCTCTGCATTACTTCCAAAAATAAAACATTCTGGTATTTTCTTATTAGCTGGCCTACTAACAACTCTCAAGATAAGGCCAAATGGTGCCATTTCCTTGACTGGTTTTCATCCTGTTTGAATGAAAAAAAATATTTCCATTCCTCTTCCCTCATCAAGTTGCATCATTTTCCCTTTTTTTGCTTTCTTTCTAAAATTTCTACCACTATTTACAGAAAACTCACAGATATCTAGGGACATTATTACTGTGCCAGATTAAAAATTACTGAAAATGTCACACACTCCAAGGCTATATTTAGGCCACATTGAGACTTGACGTATATGAGTAATGCAACCTTTCATAGTTTGGATAAATTTAATTCTCCACACTATAATTTCCTCCAACATTCCAAGATGTGAAGGCACTAAGGGTAATGGAATGCAATGATTAATCTGTTCATAAATTTGTTTCTCTCAGTGAGGTTCTAAGCACTTCCTTAAAAACAAATTTGAAGTAGAATACAAATGCTTTCAAGGCAGAGGAGGAAGAAAATTACTTATCTAATAGTTTAGGTGATGGATGAAAACATGCTGACAGGACATGGGAGCCTGTGCAGGGATCCAATCTAGGAACTACAGCTATTTCATTCTCCTTCATTTATGTCTTTGAGTTCAACTTTCAGACTAATGTGATTTCAAATATTAACTAGAGCTCACTTCACACAACTCATGATTCTGAAATTTCATCTGTAAATTTAATTTTGTTATTACTAACACCTTAAAATTGTAGAGCCATTAACGTTTCCAACGAGTTTTCACAGCTATTTTCTCTTATGTTCTTGTAATGTCTCTGGGAGAGTGGATGAACAGGTCACAGGATGAGAGATTTGGAGTTGGGAGGGAATGTAAAAATGATCTAGCTGAGCTCCCTCATTTTATAGATGGTTAAGTGACTTTCTCTGAGGTCACACAGGTAGTAAGTGGCAAAGCCAAGATTTGAACCAATCATGTTTAACTATAGATTGAATCATACCATAATGCTGGACAGTATGAGAGATTTGCACAAATCATTACGATACGTGAGAAAATGCCACGAGTACAAATAAGAAGTTCAAGGAATGAAACAAGGGGAACTGGGAGAAGGAAAAAAATCACTTTTAGCTTGACAAGGATGAGAGGAAGGACTAGCAAAGAACAAGAGAATATCTACTCAAGAGAAAGCTGTGAATAAAGTTGGAGAAGCTGGGGGGGTGGGCAGAGTGAACTCTCCTAAAACCTTCAGAGCAGTCCTATTAGAAGGATTTGCTTGAATTTATAATTATGTTAATTTATATATAATATAAATTCTATAAATATATAAATATAAAATAATATAAAATACACAGAATTTATATTATATATTAATTTTATAATATATTTACACATCATATGAATTATAGAGCTTATTATTATACATAAATTTATAACTTATGTAAATAAAACATTCTCATCTACGGCACTCAGATCTGTGTAAATAATACGGAAGTTGGAGTCATTAAACACTGGGGTTCAAATCCTAACTCTCACTAGTCCTAAAATAGAGGAAATAATACTTGTATCAACCTACCTTATAGGGCTGTTGTATAAAAAGTGTTTAGAAGCCAAAAATCATTATATATAAAGGTGAGCTATCATCATAAAGCAAAAAGCTGACTGAGGTAGAACCTAAAGCATCTTTTTCCATGCAACACATTTCAATTCATCACAGCTATACTTCCTTATGTTTCCTAACATGGTTAAAGCTTCATTTGGAAGAAAGTTTTAAAATATAAGAAAAGTGGAAAATGATTAAAAATAGTTGTCCTCTACTGAATGAGGCTCTTTTTTTCTTTTAATGATTAAAAAAGATCTAGAATTTTAGATCTAGGGGGGATCTGTGGTGGTAGGAGCTAGAATTCCAGAGATAGCTGAAAGAAGTTCTTGCCTTTAACTTCCCACACTAGTGGCATCCTGGAGTCAAGACAGGATAGGGTCCTGAACTTTTCTCTGTGGTGCAGACACTGGAGATATGTTAAAATTAGAGCCAGAGATGTCAGGAACAAAACAAAAAGGAGGACCCCCCAACAATCCCTGGGAGTGCAGAAGCTATTGAAAACTCAAAGTATTCCCTGGCCCCTACTTACCTATGTGCGTCTGAGCCATGACATCGGCTAGCCTGTGTGCGGCCCCACTGCCACCACTTTGCGTGGAAGAGGAGGACGTCGTAGAGGTTGTCGAGCCATGGATTGCTTGGCTGATCCAGTGTTCCATGTTGATGCTGCCCTGGCTGGAGGTGGGGGTTCCCTGGGAATCACCCTGTACGGAGCCTTCATCCTCTGAACCAGAAGAGGTGTCTAACACATAGAAACAGACAAGGTACGTAAGTGACAAGGACCAGACATTTCTCATGGACAAGAGACAATATCCATATTTCCCCATTAGACTGTGAGCTCCTTGAGGGCAGAGAACATGTTTTGCCTTTTCTTTGACTCCCCAGGGCTTAGCATAGTGCTTGGAACATAATAAGAGCTTCATAAATGCTCGTTGACATGGCTTGAAAGCACTTTATAATGAAGACGTCTTGGTACTCCTGTAATAAATTCCTTGTAGGAAATCTACCTTTCCTCTCCATGCTTCTACATGAAGGAATGGTATTTCACAAACACTCCAGTGTACTCTCTTCATTATCTCCTTACTCACTCAATCAAAAAAAAAAAAAGTATTAAGTCTTTACTCTAGGTCAGGCACTGTTTGAGGTACTGAGGATGCAAATACAAAGAATGTTCTCACTAACATTAACTAACATTAGCTAGTTAGTTCTCACTAGCTAACTAGCTAACATTCTCTCAGCTCCCAATACCGTGCTTTGTACTCCCAGGGAATTCTCAGTAACCAGTTCTTGACTAACCAGTCGATTCTAACTCTGCCAGTCCAGCAAAAAAATATAAACACTCAGGTGGCTTGTGCTAAGGGTCTCTATATAAACCAAGATCTAGATATAAGTTTCATAGAGGATTCCAGAAGACAGACACAACACCAGGTGCCATGAAGGTCTACCACTTTAACTGTGAATTAGCAATCCCTAGCTTGTGTCTCCTATAGAAATGCAAATAAAAATGACAGACATTTGGCCACATCTGGTAGGAATGTCAAGACGTCAGGACTTCCCTTTAGATTCAGCATCCTATTTATTGTTGAGTGAGTCACTTGGGGAACAAGGGATTGAAAAAAAATTGTGGAAAACTATATACTGCTTAGTGGAACATCAACGTACGCACTGCTAATGATTACTGAGGCACTAAAAAAACAGATGTGATCCAGTTACAAGCAATAGTGATTCTTTTCTTTTTATTGTAAGTTAGAAAGGAAATAGGCATTATTAATTGTGTTAATTATGATTATAACATCCATGTAGCTTGGGAAGGATTGTGAGTTGCCCATTAAAGAAAACCACAACATAAATTGTAGTCCCATAAACTATTTTTATGTGCCAAGCTGACCTAATGCAGAGTTAAAGGAATCCTTCCCAGAGGAAATAAATGGTAATTCAGAGTAAGCTGAGCAGTAACAGTCCTGGGTTGATACTACCCAGAAAAGGAGAGAGTGGTACAGGAGCCATTCATTCCAATAAGAGACTCACATGTTAGGTTTTTTCTATAGTGAGCAAAGTTCTAAAGGTCACCAAGATCCCAAGAAAGAAAATAATGCAAACAAGTAGAGGCTGGATTAGGCCTTCGCAGATGTGGTTACAAAATGCTCAGAGCAGTACTCAACACAAAAGAGAGCACTCAATAAATTTTTTGGATAAGCATGATGTTGATCATGACACGTATGGTTTTTCAAAGCTATCCCATGTGAAATCACCACCGTGACTCCCGTGTGACTGCCGGATGACAAGAAGAAGTGTTTATTGGTTTGGATGGGATTGGATGGGATGACAATTTGTGAAATTATTCATGCAGAGTGCATAGAAATGCTATGTAAATAATCAAATGCAAATGTTACAGCCAAAATAAGACTCCCACCAATGAGCACATACGTTTCTCACAGACAGCTAAAAATACAAGGATTTTACCTTTTGTCATGATGATTTATAGGTGTTTGTGTTTATGCATGTGCATGTACATATGCACATATATGATACATTTCTTTATGAAATGTATGTATAAGCATGTAAATGAGTATATAAATACAAGGGCAGTCAAAAGTAAAGTAACTGCAAATTACTTCTTACATTTTGATGTAGCTTATGTTTTCCTATAAAAAAATGTTTATGGGAAAGGCCCATAAGGCCCAAAGCTTGCTTAGGCTTTTAACTATTTCCCATTTTTTCCAGTTTAAGTCTGTTTTATCTCTGCAAGATATTTTTTTACATTCCTATTAAACATATTTTCACATCAGTCATTTTGTGAAGAAGAATTAGAACCAATAAGAGGAACACGAAAAAAAAGAAACAAAACAAAACAGAAGGAAAAAAAGAGCAAATAGTACGCTTCGATCTGCATTCAGATTCCATAGTTCTTTCTCTGGATATGGATAGAATTTTCCATCATGAGTCTTTTGGAGATGTCTTAGATGTTCCTGCAAGATATTTTTGTCATCTGACACTTGACACAACAACAATGATGACAAGTTTTCTTTGCATTATACATTTTGGAAAACATGGAAAATAAATTTCATTATAAAATTAAGTATATTAATTAAACTTCACCATATGCTATAAGAACATGTTTAAAAATAGGCAGAATATTTGCTATTTAAATACATAAAAGACAAAGAGAAATAATAGAAAATCATGTCCTTAAAAGAAAGGATCATTTGGAGGCTCATATATAAACCATGAATACAGATGGAGGTACATTGTAAAATGTCAATATAAAGAGCTCTGTTGCCTTATTTTTTTAGGTTGTATCGGGTCAGACACTTAGAGTTGGATGAGGACAGGTCAAGTTACAAATCTGAACAAAATGTTGGTTTTTTTAGTGGGTCCTATGCCACCTTTTCTTCACACACACAAAGCTTCAGAGCCAAACTATAAAATACGGATGATAAGAGTTCAGAACTCAATAACAACTATTGACTTTGGTTTGCATGTAATGTTGCTGTTTCACTCTTGTAGCTCCTTATGATTCTTCCATCAAGAAAAAAAAAAAAAGAGGGAGGACCCCGTATACTCTTGCACACATGCAAGGCATGTCTGCCTCCATAAGCTAAAGTCAAGGCAATTATTTGTGCAGGTCAGGGGGAAAGAAGCACAAAGTGGGAAATATTCCACATTCATATATGTGTGTGTGTGTGTGTGTGTGTATACAAATATACACACACATACACACACATATATGTACATGCACACATGTGTGTGTATGTGTATATTTGTATATATGTGAGTTTGGATATAGTTACAGATACATAATTCATTGAACAGGTTCGAAAGCGCATCCAAGGCACAGTTTGGCAGCTTCAATCAATCCATTCAAAACAAAACAGCAGCTATTAAGCACTGACAATGTTCCAGGCACTGCATTAAGCACTATTGATATAGAGACAAAAGTGAAACTGTGTCTGCGTTCAAGGATTTTATGTTCTAATAGATCAAATGAGATAATATCTGTAAAGCACTTAGCACAGTGCTAGGAACAGAGAAGGTGCTTCTTAAACATTTGCCCCTTGCAATGTAATAAAGGCTTTTTACTAAGGCTATAAAGATTGGCCAAACTACTAGGAGGTCAGTTTCAAGTGAGTTTTTGAGTCTAGTTTGTAACATGTACTGTGTTTCTCGATAAACACTGCAAAACTCAAAATTATAGCACCACAATTTGGAAAACAAAAGAATTCCTGGGTGAGAACCCCAAAATCAATTATTTTCTCACCAAGTGCTCAGATAGGTACACACACATTCTCCTGAGTAGGAAAGATAATGGATGAGTGCATGCACTTACCTGGAGGTGTGTAGGCATCCATTGAGGTCTGCACAACCAGCGAACGGCGTTTGGAAGGCATCGGCACTGCCATTTTCCTTTCTTTGTGTTTAGCCAGGGCCGCTTGGACAGCTTCAGTATGCACATCTGGAATAATAAAAAATATTTAATTATTTTCTTATATAGCCTTTGGATTCTATAGGCTCCAGGCTTTGTCTTCTTTTTTCTTGGACCCTTTCGTTGCACTGCCCACTTGCCTCTGCACTAAAAGATGGGTAGGTAAGGAAAAAGGGGAGCAAAGCTTACTTCAGTCACTTTTGCTACTCGCTGGAAGTTCCATTAAAAAGCAGACAAAATTTTTTGTTTTTGATTCATCTAGAGATTTAATTTACCCAAGGGATTTTGAACCATTATTACTAATCAAAAGATGACTATATTGTAAATTGCTCAATATTGCCTTTATTTGAATGAATAAGTCTTTCTCTTGAATTCTCTCCCCACAAGTCTTGTTTTCTAAGCCTGTGGACCAATTTGTTTGCCTAATATGACAGACAGAAGAGTGATACATAGGATAGAACTCTGGTTCTGTAGTCAGGAAGACCTGAATCCAAATCTGACTTTAGACACTTAACAGCTGTGTGAGTTTGGGAAAATCACTTAACCTCTGTTTAATTCAGTTTCCTCAATTGTAAAATGGAAAGAATAACAGCACCCACCTCACAGGGGTGTTGTGAAGATCAAATGAGATGATATTTGTAAAGCATTTAACACACTACCTGGAATATAGTAGGTGCTATATAAATACTTATTCTCTCTCCTTCACCCCTGTGAGTTTTCCATTACATTTTCTAGAGACACTGTCTAGTGTGTAAATCAACATTTAGTTCTTTTTTAAAGTCCGTAGTCCATGGAATAAAGTATTTAACCTCCAATAATTTCCAATTCCATTGAATTCAATAAACATTTATTGAGTGCAGAGAACAGTGTTAAAAAGACATGGAACCTGCCCTCATAAAGCTTAGAGTCAAGCAGTAAAATCTTTATAATACATAGCTACAATATACAATGGAGTACACAATAAATATGAGACAGAGGAAGAGAGGAGAGAAAGGGAGGGAGGGAGGGAGAGACGGAGAGAGAGAGAGAGAGAGAGGGGTATCAACAGAGAGAGCACTACATAAAGTCCCAGGTCCAAAATGGGATAGGGTGGAGAGGCAATAAAATAAGATACAACCCTATTTTAAGCTTATAGTATAGTAAGAGGATGAGACACGTACACAAAAAATTAAAATACAGGTTCAAAAATTATTAGGTATATAATAGAGGTCAACGGTCTGTGAAACTTGAAGAAGAAAAGATTATATCTGGCTGGGCAGATCCTACATAGAGGATGTAGCACCTGAATTGGTTTTTGAAGGATTTCAATGAGCAGGAGTGGGAGTGAGGTCCTCTGCTTGCTGACATTCTCCCCAGAATGGGCACAAGGAACGGACTACACAAAGTCACAAGGGGAAAATAGTGCAGAGTGGTTGAATGGGATAATAGCTAATCTGGGCAAACTGGCTGTAGCACAAAATGTCCAAAAGGAAGCATCACACAACGTGGTTTGAAAGGGGAGGTTGGAGAATTGCCAGGGAGGGTATTGAACATCAAAGTGAATAGTCTATATTGCTTTTGCCTCAGACTACTCTTATGCCCATTCCTTTCTTTCTCCTGCCATTCCTGCCACCATAGTTAAAGTCCTTAATCCCCTCTCATTGCTTCTTTTGTCTCTGTGCCTCAAGTCTCTTCTCTTTCTACTTTACCCTTTATAAAGTACCTAAATTAATCTCTCTCATACACAGGCATGCAAAAGAACAGGCATTGCAATTCCTAGCATAAGACTACTGAAGAGAAGATATTCAATAAATTCAATAACAAAATTTACACACAAATGACAGGTGAAGCAGTGTGTTATCTTTTACAATCTTGCTGAGTAAGTGATTTCAACAAATGGCACCCCATTTGATCATTCTATCCTTGGAGAGGCTTCATCAGTGAGAAGGGAGATTCGCTTTCCCCTTTACATGTTTCCTTTCTAATGAAAGCCAGGTAAAAAGCACTATAAATCTAGAACCTGAAATTATTAGGGTAGCTTTTGTAATTATCCTGTTAATGCAGATTAATGATGAACTAATGACAACTGCTCAGAGAAAATTAATCTGTGAACTGTTATTAAGAAGTGAGAATGCTACTATGTTCCTGACAAAGAAAGGGCAAAAAACTTCAAATCTACATTTTATCATGCTTTGCAAGGGAGAAATTAACTTAAAATAATTGGAGGCCTGAAGCATGACACCAAGGGCTGAAGTCCTTACTGAGTTTCATTTGTATGTGTGTTGCAATTGTAACACTTGAAGCAGTTGATGTAATTGCAGAGGTTACATGCTGACTTTCATTATGTCCATGTGTTTCAGATATTTTTAGCACTAATTTTTTCAATTTAGGGTTAGAATTTAGAGACAAATTTTAATGAATGTTCATACTTCAATCTGTTCCAGCTTCTTTAACATTAACTAAGCACAACCCACCCCCCTGCCTCCATGATTAAAATATGATGGAATCATATCACAACTACATAGCTTACTAATCTAATGAAACTGTGAGGCATCGATATGCTACAAAATGAAGACAAGTAATCCAGAAGATAAAGGAAAGGAGGAGAGAAAGTGAAAGGGAAGGGAGAGGAGAAAGAGAGAGAGAGAGAGACAGAGGCAGACAGACAGAGAGAGATAGGGGGAGAGAAAGAATGGAGAAAGTAAGGGAGAGAGAAGGAGAACGAATGGGAGAAGAGCAACAGGAAAGGAGAGATTAAAAAAGGGAAAGGGAAAGGAAAGATCAAACAATACTGAAAGGTGCACATGCTTTCTTCTAAGAAAATTACCTTTGGTTACTGAAAAGGTTCCTTGTTCAAGGTTCAAAAAAAAAAAAAACACTCAAAAAGGCTTAACACTTTGGTACTTGTCCAAACACCCTAACTCTGTAAAAAGCTACACAAAGTTACCCTTACACATTGTTTTCCTTCATTTGATAAATAATTTTTCATGAAGTTCCTGAGAACTGGATATATTCAGGCATTTACACTAGAGAGATTGTGGTCAACTATTCGGTCCATGACTGAGGGGCCGGGAAGTTATTAAGATTTTCTTGTGAATTTTTTTTTCAGTTGGAAATCTTGAGAACATTTTCCCCAGGGTGCCATTGTGGTACCTCTAGCCAGAAGCAAAATGGATCATAGGAAAGGGCAAGGTCTGTGGGAATGGGAAACCCGTAACTATAACAGAACAAAAACTTGAATCTTATTTGTATCAACTTCCATGACAAAACATCTACTCTCTGTTTTATTTAATTTCTCTCTCTCTTTTTTTTTGTTCCAAGAACACATGCCAACAGATAGAAATATCCATTTGAATGCAGAGTACTCCTCACAGATTATAGAGGATTGCCCTAACATTTAGTCTTTTTATGTTTGGATATCTTATACAGACAAATTATACCTGGCCCCGTTTGATGCAAGCTGATTTAGACGGACTGTCCCTTTCTCCAGTGCATCAGTCTTTAAGTGATATATGCGATAATGGTACTGATAAGAAGGTTAAACATAAATATCATAATTAGGTTGAATTTCTCTTTGTTTCTTTGTTTCTTTCTTCTTTTCACAGAGTTCTGTGTGCTGTATGTACTGCCTCCACCCTGACCCAGTCATGTGTCACTGGCAGCAAAAGCAATATAACACATCCCATACGCATGTGAGCAACCACAAACACTCAGCCACTTATTTTGTTCACTGTTGCCTCTGACTCATGCTACAGAATCCCAAAATCAAATCAGACTTGCTAAAGACTCTGAAAACAAACCTTTAGCTTGTGATCATTTTGAGACTGGGGAAGTGGGGGAAGGGGTATTTAGGTGACTGTTCTTGAACTAGTGAAATCATTATACTTCTAAATTCTACAATGCAATTGGCAGTTCAATTTCAGACCAAAGGTATGGCAAAAAGTTTTCTCTTAAGTGATGCAAAAGGCAGTAAAATCTTACCCTGGAGATTCTATGTAGAGGCACTGACCTTTGGTTCTCAAAGACGATGGCCACAGAATGCCAGCTTTAGTGGGTTCCCGTGTGGAGCTAGAAAATCTTTGAGCAAGTGTCCAGTGATGTCTGTAGCCAAAAGACCAGACTAGATTTGTTAAGAGATGGTCATTACCAGGCCAGTGCTTAAAGGGTCATGATTTCTTTTGGCTACACTGATTCTTGAGAACTGTCTACTCAATTGCACAGATGTTGCAATCAACATTAGTGCATAGAGGGCCCACATGGGCTAAGTCACCAAATCATTATGTACAAATAATTATGATACTAGTGACTCCATTACTCAAGTAATGAGGTAAATTCACATGGTTTAACAGAATGTTCAAGTAAATTGATAGGCTGATGGTTGGGGGTAATCACTGAGAAGATGTTACTTAACATTGCTCTTCATGATTCATGATTTAATCAGTATGAGGAACTTCAGTGGGGGAATCTCACAACATCCATGCTGGAGAGTGACCTCCCCACACAGCAGTTAAGTGACTTTCCCAGTACCAAACTGTTACTGTCAGCATCAGAATTTGAACCCAGGTCTTGCAGAATTCAAGCCAGTATGCAATCCACTATGCCACACTGCCTCTAACACACACAAAACAAGAAAAGCATGTGCAACAGAACTTCATAGGTAGGGCTGGGGGAAGAGCTAGCAAGAACCTTTTCTTTCCCCACTTCACATGGAACCATGTAGTGGAACATTTGGGGCAGGATTAGAAAACTGTCCAAGACAGATGTTAGCCATAGCTATGTCCCAATCCAGTACCATTCCATCAAATCTAGTCTGTTACAGCCATGTAGACACCTAGAAGTCTGTGTCTCCAGCCCAGTTCCAAGGAGATATTTTCAACACAAATCTCAAGAAGATTACTGCTCCATGTTTTACTAAAAGCCAACAGTTAAGGTTCTTATTCATTTAACACTTTTCAAAAAATTGACTGTCCTAAGCTATGGGTTTCAATGTCTAGAATTATAAATTTGGCACCTCTCCTGATACAGCACTGGAATCCAAATTCAGTGCTGGT